TAAACATATTTCCTGTCGCAGGAACAATTTACACAATTATTTACAACATTACACACGCGCGCGCGAGCATGATCAATGATTTGATTATATTTTTGTGAGTTGGTTATTAACAACAAATTTACATTGTTAACGTAATTCTAATGTCTATTGGATCATGAATTAGTTACACGTGGAATTATGATTCCACGTGTAACTAATTCATATATTTAAAATACCCTGAAATAAGAAATCTAAAAATTACTATTTGTTTATTTGATTGTTTATAATAATGGATATTGTTAGTTTACAATCAAGTTTTGTTAGAAATCATTATTATTTTAGACCAATTAAGTTAATAAACTAATTATTTCTGTGATAAAGCACGAGGAACCATAATTTCTTTCAATAATTTGTTAATAACAATTAAGTTAAATTATTATTGAATTATTTTGTTTCTTATGATGGGACAGTATTGATTTTCATCGATAGTAAGGTTGTTAAAGTAGCTTGGAGTCAGATAAAAAATAATTTAGTCGAAAAGTGCTAGTTTAACACATTTTTTCTTACATATTTTTGCACTAACACAAAAAATCAAAATTCGGCTCTCACAGTTCTCTTTAGAATTTATTTCCGAGTATTTCTGTTCAAGAAACATTAAAATCGGTTAAGAAATACGATCTGTAGCCTATTTTGAACAAGTGTTTGTCTGTTCCAGACCACTGTGCGACGGGCCAACGTACGGTTTTAGGATGGATCATCTCCGGTCCTGTTGGCTCCGCGCGCCCAGCCGGAGAATCCGCATCCGTTCTGAATTGCGTATCCTGCGAGGATACGAATTCCTTGTTGCAACGTTTTTGGGAGGATGAGAGCATCCCCTCTCGAACCTCTCTCACGGAGGAGGACGAACGTTGCGAAAAGCATTTTGTTGCTACGCATTCTCGCGACTTGCAAGGACGCTACATTGTGCGTTTGCCGTTTAAAAACGGTCCCCCTCAGATAGGCGAAACCTTTCGTAAGGCTTCAATTTTTTATTCTAAAATGGAACGCCGACTTTCGCAAAAGCCCGAGATCGCGTCTCAGTATCACGGTTTTCTCCACGAATACTTGTCTATGGGGCACATGGAGGAGCGCTCTCCATACCCCCCGGTATACATCCCGCATCATTTCGTCTTACGCGAATCAAGTACCACTACAAAATTACGCGTCGTGTTTAACGCGTCTAGCAAATCAGACGATAACACCGCGCTTAACGATTATTTGATGGCGGGACCGAAACTGCAACTAGACATTGCTGCGATAATTTTACGCTGGCGTCTGTTCCTTTACGTGTGCATGGCAGACATCGCGAAAATGTTCCGGCAAATACTCGTGCATCCAGACGACGTAGATTTTCAACGCATCCTTTGGCGACCACCCGAAAGTCTTCTGATTCGTCTTTATCGCCTACTCACCGTGACCTACGGCCAAAAACCCTCTCCGTTTCTCGCACAGCGCTCCCTTCTGCAATTAGCTCGCGACGAAGGTAAAGATTTTCCCGAAGCGGTTTCGATAATCGAAGAATCGACCTATGTCGATGATGTTATTTTTGGAGCAGACGACCTTCCGTCTCTGCTCGACAAACGCAAGCAACTCGTCGGTTTAATGAATCGCGGATGTTTTCCTCTCCGAAAATGGGCCGCGAATTCAGCCGAACTTTTGATGGATATCCCGGAGGATCAACGTGAATCCTCGGATTATCCCATCAATCGCGATGACACGCTCAAAGTCCTCGGACTTTCTTGGTCTCCGCGTGATGACTCGTTTCGTTTTGTGATCTCGCCGTACGCCGTGACCGCTCATACCAAGCGTTCCGTTCTATCATTTATCGCGAAGCTGTATGACCCTCTCGGCTGGGCGTCCCCGATCGTCATCGCGGCCAAGATGTTAATGCAAGAGCTCTGGCTCCGTAAAATTGATTGGGACTCGCCAGTCCCCGACGATCTTCTGCCGCAGTGGATCAACTATTTTTCAGATTTGCCTAACATTGGTGAAATCTGCATTCCCCGATGGACAGGGATGCGTCAAGATAAACTCGACGTCGAATTACACGGATTCGCGTACGCGTCCATTCGAGCCTACGCCGCCGTAGTTTATCTCCGAATCGTGCACTCTCAGACGAACGTTCAGGTGAACCTCCTCGCGGCCAAAACGAAGGTCGCGCCATTAAAAACCGTCAGCGTTCCACGACTTGAACTCAACGCCGTCGTTCTACTGACTCGTCTGCTCGAGTGGGTACGAGATTCTACGCGCTTAAATCGAGCTCCCTTATTTGGATGGACCGATTCTCAAATCGCGTTGGCATGGATTCAACAGCATCCATCCAAATGGAACGCTTACATCGCGAATCGCGTTTCCGAGGTGCAGACGCGCCTTCCCTCAGTCCATTGGCAGCACGTTCGTTCTCACGACAATCCTGCCGACTGCGCTTCTCACGGTTCTACCGCCTCCGATCTCGTTCACCACCAATTATGGTGGTCCGGCCCTCCGTGGCTGAAAATTTCGCCGGCCTCATGGCCGATTCTCCCGATGCCTGATGCTGCTGACATTCTGCAAACGGTATCGTCAGAAGCTCGTAAAGCTACCGTGCATCTAGTCGATCCAACTCCGGAGTGGGATCTGTTCACCTCCTACTCGAGCTGGATCCGACTTCTTCGTGTTACGGCATACGTTCGTCGATACGTTCAAAACTTAAAAAATAAAGCCGCCTCGTTAGCAATCGTTACGACGCCCTTGACCGCGTCTGAAATTCACGACGCTGCAGTCTTTTGTCTTCGATCGGTTCAAGCGACTTGTTTTCCTGACGAATGGACGGCTCTGAATGCTCATAACGCCGTATCACGTACGAGCTCCTTACGCTCTCTCAATCCCTTTATCGGGAAAGATCAATTAATCCGGCTGGGCGGGCGGCTCGCCAACTCTGCTTTGCGCTACAATGAGCGACACCCAGTCGTTCTTCCCAGACATCATATTTCTGAGCTTCTGATCGATCAAGCTCACCTCCGTTCCCTGCACGGCGGAACTCAGCTCACGCTCAGATGGCTTCGTCAAAATTACTGGATCATTTCCGCGCGAAGCTTGATCAAATCTCACATCCGTAGATGTGTTAAATGCAGCAAGCATTCCGCAAAAAACCCGACGCAATTAATGGGTGATCTCCCGAGTCCGCGAGTCAATCCCTCTCCTCCCTTTTCTCATACGGGCATAGATTATGCCGGGCCAATGCTTATTACGCCTTTCGTCGGCCGCGGTCAAAGGGGGAGTAAACACTACGTCGCGGTGTTTGTTTGTCTCGCCACGAAGGCGATCCATCTCGAGTGCGTGGAAGATTACTCCACCGAGGGATTCCTCGCGGCTTTTCACCGTGTCGTTAGCCGACGCGGATTGCCCTCAGATATGTATAGTGATAACGGCACGAATTTTCAGGGCGCTGATCGCGAGCTCCAACGCAGCTTTCGCGCTCTTAAGCGTGACCCCTTCCTAAAAAGCGTCCTCGCGAATGACGGTGTCACGTGGCACTTCGTCCCTCCGGCGGCACCACATTTCGGCGGGCTTTGGGAAGCAGGCGTAAAAAGCCTGAAGCACCATCTCAAGCGAGTGGTCGGTGCTCGTACTTTATCGCGCTCGGAATTCGCGACCCTATTATGTAAGATAGAAGCGTGCCTTAACTCGCGACCGATCTCTCCGCTCCGCGACGATCCTTCCGACTTGACCGTCTTGACGCCTGGTCATTTCCTGATTGGCAGACCGCTCACGAGCGTACCGGAAGAATCGTTACTCGAAATCAATGCGAATCGTTTGTCGCGATGGCAACACGTGCAACGTATGGTCGAGCAGATCTGGCGCTCCTGGTCATCGGACTATTTACATTCATTGCAACAGCGAGTCAAATGGACCGAATCTCACGACAATGTTAAAGTCAACGAGCTAGTTTTTCTCAAAAATAACCTGCTTCCTCCCTCAAAGTGGGAACTCGCAAGGATTCTGAAAGTCCATCCCGGACTGGACGGTCGCGTCCGCGTCGTCACAGTGCGCACCGCCAATTCCGAGCTTAAACGACCAATAACCAAGATCTGCCCGTTGCCTGCGTCTATCAACTCTCCGGGACCTGCAGAATCCCGTTAGTATTAAGTGATTTTTCTCTTTCTTCATTAGCTCTAAGGCCATTGTAAAACTTAGACTAAGTCAAACATGTACATAGTGTATATAATCTTGTCAATAAGACGCTCCTTTATGCGATCTCCTCCCCCGTTGTTTCGCATTCCGTCGAATACGAGGCGGGCGGCATGTTGCGAATCGAATATTCGCAGATGGAACCTTCGCGAAGCCAGTAACGGCGAATTCAATGATTGCTATTCGCACAGCTTAAGTGAAAGCGCGTTCCTTCGAGAACGCTCGAAACTCGTCGTACAGCGCACATGTGTATTTCTCTTTTTTTTTGGGATGTTTTCGCCACCGTCTCGCAGGTGCGCATCGCGTGATCGCCCGCACGGCGACCAATAGTCTTCGCTAGACATATTGGAGCCAATCACGGAGCTTTACGTTTCGAAGTTCCTCGCCGTCTCACGCGTAGCTCCGGCCGCGAATTCTTGCCTGCTCCGGCCCGGAAGAAAAGGGAGGAACGAACGCGACGTTTGTTCTGTTCGCATCAGCCCAGTGCGAAGTTCGCACAAGTACGCACACGACACGCGTTGAAATCCGCTAGCACAATCCGAGCGCGTAACTCGCGATCATCTCTCGCGTGCAACCGGCGGCGTCGAGCCAAGCGAGGTCTCCTCTAACGAGCGTGACATTGTACAGTGGAGCGACACAGTTTACTTCGAATAAAGTGACTTTTATATCTAACGATAAAACCTGCTGGGTTTTAACTCTTCCTCGGATATCACCGCGCGACGACCAGAGCGGTCCACTAACAGATCTACTTCTTCAATATAATGTTTGAAGTAGTCATGATTAATAAAGTTTGTGCCAAAAGTAAACAGCCATCCACAATATCCACATTTGTGCTGTATTAAAAAAGAAAATATATAAGTAAAAATGTATAAGTTGTAGCAGCCCAGATAACGGGTGCTTTCCAGCAACGTACACAGGCGACACTGTGTAACACAGTGTACGACCCCAGTGCTTTCCAACTACGACACAAGGCGACACAAGCGTACACAGCTCGGTATCCATAAAGGATTTCCACACGTAAAAAAAAAATGTATGTTATCTGGAAGGTTGCTGAAACTAGACTAGACATGTAAAAGTAAAATAATACCATAATTATCGGGCATAACCTTGAAATTAATTTGTCATACTGTGTAAATGGTGTGTCAAATTATGTCTATTACATTATTTTTAAAAACTTTATATAGAATTTGTTACTTACCCGAATTTGACTCATTTTTGCTAACCATGTGGTCTTCTTCTTCCTCTCTGGTTATTGACTCCCGGCTCACAGACACTGAGCCGACACGGCCACGTCGAACCAATAGATTTAATGGTATTGCTTGGAATGTAGTGAATTGAACGATGTAATACGGTAACCGGGCCACGCGCGGGATGATGCAATCCCGCAGGATCAAAAATTTATCTTCCGTCGGAAGACGTGTGAATCGCTTGACGGCCCAGACAGAACTAACCATGTGGTGATCGTCCGTAACTACATACACGTAACTAATATACATCGCCAGTTTACGCAAAAATTGGATTTGGCGTATTGTCAATAAGCGTAAAATGCGTAAAATAACTAGGCGGATTTGCGTAATGGTAGTCAGGCGATTTGATTGGCTGACGCCGTTTGACGCAAGTTACGCTTACGCAGATTACGCTGCATGTGACGGCACCCTCACAGGGCGGGTCCAAAGGCGACCCCGGCGACCGCCGCCATCAATGTCCCGGGTCGAGCACCACACGCGGAGCACCCCCCGAGAACTGCGGACCCTCGGAGGGCAACACGCCTCCCGCCAAACGAGGAGGCGACCCGCCACGTCACGACGCGAACGACAATATGGCGGCTATACCGCCGCGCACCGCCGCCGCGCCGACGCCACCGCCAACGGTACCGGATCGCAAGACGGGCCGCACCCCAAGCACCAGGGCACCCGCCTTCGGTGACGGCGCCAATAACGACCCCTCCACCCGTTCTCCGACGATCCCCAAATATTGTGCCGCCCAACGACGCGCGGCCCTCCACTGACACGAGCCACCCTGAAGCCGGCGCTCCAGGTAGCCCGGTTCACGTGTTATTCGCGAAAAACACTTAGCCGGAAACGGCTCCCGATCTTGTCAAACACCCACTAAACGCCCACCGGAGCGTACACAGACTTATGTAGTGACCATAAAGTACCGAGTTTTTCAACATGCGGATAACCGAGAACCGCCAGCCCGAAAGGGATTTGAAGGTCGAAACTAAGCACGCGGTCGCGACCACCGTCCCCCAGGGATTCACTTTAAACGAAGTGGTCCCGAGGAAAACCCACCGCTAACGCGCCAGTAACGTCCGGAGAACCACCACGGGGCCGACCAAGTCCTTTTTAAGCCCTGAAAAGGGCTGGATTCCATCTGGATAATTCCAGATGGAAAGTCAATCACGTAGAGGCGAGTGAGTGGGGGGAGCCGGCCATCTTGCCACGGTGACACGGCACGTAGCAGCGATTCCAACTTAAAGTGTTAATTCCTCAGTAATTAATAAGGTCTCCACTCTGCCTCCGCTTTCACCCACTATATGAATCACGCCCGAACACGGCGATACCACTTAGTTTATATGCCACTTAGCAACAATAGCCACACTATGGATACTCCTATCCAGGAGCTCTATACTACACGTCCGTACGCTATGGCTGATGGCAGACAACTATCCGTAAGCGCTTAAGGCTGACGTAGCCGTAAACTTAAGGTAATTCCTGGTCCACAATCTTGCTTTAAATAAGCTGTAAGCCTTAAGCCGTAAGAAATTAACCAGTCACAGGCATTTATTCCCCTCACTCTCACCTGTGATGGGTTAATTTCTTACGGCTTAAGCCTTACAGCTTACTTAAAGCAAGATTGTGGACCAGGGGTAAGAGTCGGGCTAGAGTCGGGTCAGAGTCGGGTTGTGGTGAACGTTTTTGCGGTAGAAACACCAAACCGGGTCAGAATCGGGTTGGGGTTTGGTGTTTCCACCGCAGAAACGCTTGCCCCAACCCGATTCTGACCCGACTCTAGCCCGACTCTGACCCTCGGTGGAAACGCAGTCATGGGTTAAGGAACTTTTGTAAACCAAGTCCCACTTTCTGGCTGTATGCTAAAGGTAATAAAGCATATATATATATACCTATATATATGTATGTAGGATATTCGATGTTCCTCTAAATAGTCTAAATGCCCGCCGCACGGGCAAGCAACGACGCGAGTTGATTCGGCGGTCGAGCGCGTTGCGGACGAAGAAATAAATATAGCGTGTGTATCTGTACGTTGAGCTAGGACGAGAGTGTGACTTCCCAGAGTCTTGCGAGAACCTTCGGAGAGTTGTGAGCTATAACGAATCGCGAGTATCTCCGCGAGTATCACTGCGAGTATCACTGCGAGTATCACTGCGAGTAATAAAAGTGCGACTATCGTTGCGAGTCGTTGCGCGTATCGGGAATGACCGAGACACATATTTGTAATAGACTCAGAATAAAGCTTTCTTTGTAATCTTATCCGTGAGTTGTGGTTGTGAGAAACAGGACTTTGTGGGCTAAGTAAAAAATCCCACACATATATATATATATTGTAGAGTTCGTCGAGTCGTACGAGATAGGCCACGACATATATTTTTTTCAGATCATTCGACTAAGAGGTTTCCTTTTTATTCGCGTTTGAAATATTCAAACCTCTGTAACTCCGAAAGGAGTAGAGGACGGGGTGGGGGTGGTTGACAAAAATGGCCGCACTCGGGGCTACGACTTACCTTCGGACCCCGACCCTCTATCTCTTACCGTTTTGGCGCTACGCTGTCGAGCGTGCGCTGCGACTCGAAAAACCCCACCCGAACCCGAGAAAAACCAAAAACAAGATGGATGCTACGGGCAAGCTGGACCACCCGCCGATAGGGGGCGTACTCGCGTGTGGAAAAAAGTGGGGAGCCAGGGGTATATAAGGAGCTGCCTCGCGCTTCTACGGACAATAACTCTTCTGTGCGGGTAAGTAAAACAGTCCCTTCCCAGGTGCGCTCGTCCGGGCCCTGGCTCTCTCTCTTGTCCAGGTGCGCTCGTCGCAGGCCCTGTGTCCCTCGGTCGGTTGTACTAACCATTCTTGTTTTTTTTTATGTTTCAGAAGCTCGCGTCTTAGAGTTTACTTCGAGACAGAGATGCCGCGCAGAAAACGCATTGAACACAGCGTGAGATGGCAGACGGTGGGACCACCACCGCTACCACCGCTGCCACCGACACTACCACCGCTGCCACCGCTGCCACCGCCGCCACCGCCGCCACCGCCGCCACCGCCGCCACCGCCGCCACCGCCGCCACCGCCGCCACCGCCGTCAGCGTCGAAGAGGAGGAAGACGTGCATCGTCTGCCCGCCGCTACCGATGGCGACGAACAAGCGGACGTGTCCGCGCCTCGTAACCAGCGCGAAAAAGAACGGGCCGGCGCAGTAGGACGGCGGCGCCAGCGGTAGAAGCAGCAGGCAGATTTAACCGCATGTGTGACGTTCACTTGCACCACCTGAGGATTCTCTCGCATGGAGCGTAAATTGCGTAGAGTAAATTGCGTGGCGTGTGATTGGTGATACGCAAGGTTACGCTACGCAATTACGCTACATGTGAAAGCATCCGGAACGTCGCACGCACACTAGTAGTGCGGATTAGGATCCTGATCCACAATGCATAGCGTGCAGAGATATAAATCCGACCGTGCAACCTCCCCGTGGTATATCTCGGGTGACGCTAATGCCGGCGGTGCCGAAACACACACTCTTGTTGTGGGTTTCGGTATTTTTTTGAAAATGGCTCGGACCGTGCCTTCCAGGCCGCGCGATGACCACAGGGAGACTCGTCTATAATGCGGAGGACGGTACAAAGAGAGGGGTTTTTAGTTGGTATTCCCGCTTCTCGGGCGAGTCCAGCATATCCACAGTGGTCCGGCTGCCCTGTGTCGAATGCGTAAAGGCATTTCCCC